AAATAAATAAAATATTTAAGAAAAAATGCAGTTAGCCCTCTCATAATTGTGGTAGATTTGATTACGTTGTTACACACACACACACACACACACACACACACACCCCCACATGTTTCACCTGCTGTGTGTCAGTGATATTCTTCATGTAACTTTAAAGTTCCCACTCTTTCGCTGGAGATTCAGCAGCATGACTTGCTTTGGCCAGCAGAACGAGGTGGAAGTGACAGCTTGTCACTTCCAAGCCTAGGCTTAAGAGGCCTTCAGTATTTCCAGTAGTCCTTTGGCCCCCTGTGGTCACCATAAAAGAACATACCTCACTAGCCAGCTGGTCCAGGGCGGCCGGGGGGGCCTGTGGAACAGTGGCCCCCAGCAAAGCCCAGCCTTTCCGAGCTCACCCGCCAGCCAGTTCACAGACACTTGAGAAGAAATAATTGAGTGCTGTTTTTTTTTTTTTCCTAAGATTTTATTTATTTGAGAGAGAGAGAGTGAGAGAGAGAGCCCAAGAGGGGGTAGGGTCAGAGGGAGAAGCAGACTCCCTGCTGAGCAGGGAGCCCGACGTGGGACTCGATCCCGGGACTCCGGGATCATGACCTGAGCCGAAGGCAGTCGCTTAACCAACTGAGCCACCCAGGCACCCAGTTGAGTGCTGTTTTAAGTCGCCGAGTCTTGGGGTGGTTTGTTATGTGGAATTTTCGTGGCAAGAGATCACTATTACAGAGATCGGGCCAGAAAACAGAGCGCAACACTAACCAGTTCCAGGCAATTGGCACCAACACCTGCGCAGTGAGCATTTTCCCCACAAGTTAGATGCATAACGAATCAGGTGAAAAACAATTTGGCCATAAAAGATAAAAATCACAAAAAAAAAGAGGGATATTCATTTAAAAGGACATGAGAAAACATGAAAACTGAATCACGAAATTAAAAAGACTTTATTGCAAAATAGAAAATATTTGAGTACCTTTAAAATGTACGGTGGCAGTCCTGTGCAAATAACTGGCCTTTGTGTGTGGGAGCTCAACACAGTCTTCAAAGTCTTTCGTACTATTACACATTTTTTTTTTTTTTTGCTTATGGATTTGTCTCCTTGCTAAAATTTCCTCCTTCATGAAGAGAGGTATCCGTTTCCAAGTACTAAGATGCGTATTTGTACATGAGCTCTGTATCGCATTGAGAAGCCCTTCTCCACGGCTGTTTGTTCGTGGTATATTGTCCCGCGTCCACTGACGGACATTCCAAGCTCTGTGGGAAACCTGGGTTCAAAAGTCGGTGCCACCGTATAGACCATTGTGAGGGCTGAGCTTCATCTCCTATAAAAATGAGAGTACGGCATCATGGGAACATGAAGCCAAACTGTCAACCAGGTACTTTTTATCTTTTACAGCAAAACTGCCTTACAGCCTGTTAGTTATGTGGTGAAAAAGCTTGTGGCAAAGATGCTTATGGTGAAAATACCCAACATGATACTGACCCTGCCTCAATAAGTTGAGAAGAATTCATGAAAGATTAACAAAACTGGGGTGCCTGGGTGGCTTAGTTAAGCATCTGCCTTTGGCTCAGGTCATGATCTCAAGGTCCTGGTATCGAGTCTGGCATCAGGCTCCCTGCTCAGTGGGGAGTCTGCTTCTCCCTCTCCCTCTGCCCCTCCTCCACAGCTCATTCTGTCTGTCTCTCTCTCTCTCAAATAAATAAATTTTTAAAAATCTTGAAAAAAAAAAAGATTAACAAAACTATAATGAGCCTAACTGAATACTTCATAAAAATGATTTGTCAAGTTGTAACCTTAAGTTTTTTTGGTAAACTTTGGCCAAGAAGAAAACAAGTATTTCATCAGTGAAATATGTAATGACAAAAGGAAGCTCAATATCCAAAGACATAAGGAAAGTTAAGGGGTGTCCTATTTGATAGAGTTCACTCACTTACTCAACAAATGTTTAAGGAATACCTTATCCTCACTGTATCCTCACTGTTCTAGGCCCTGGAAATAAGGTTGTGGGAGAAACAGACAGGGCTGAGGTCTCACAAAGCTTATATTCTAGGGGAGACTCAGAAAATAAAAATTAAAACGATAATTCTAATCATGGTAAGTGCTACAGAGAATCTCAGCAGGGTAATGGCTACCTCAGGTAGTTTAAGGAAGACCTCTCTGAGGATGTGACATTGAAACTGAGACCGAATGACATGACTAGGCCAAGGGAAGAAAGGCCACATTGCAGGAAATATCAAATGCAAAGTCTATGAGTTAGGAATAAACTTGGAGGGTCTGAGGTATAAATAGAAGTATGGACAGGAGTGATATGGTATGAAATGAAGTGGGAGATATTAGAAGGGGCCAGATGGAGCTCCACTGGCCACAGCAAGGATTTTGTGTTTTATTACAAGTGGAGTGGAATCCATTAAAGGGTACGAAGCACATGACCTGATTTATGGGCACCCTCCTGGCTTCTGTATGGAGAATGGACAAGAGAGGAAGCAGGGGGTCATTTGGGTTTGTGCATCATGGTACTAGTTACAAGTGGTCTCTGTAATGGCCAGGATGGAGAGAAATGAACTGGTTTGAGGTACATTTTGAAAGTAGAATCAAGACCCGCTGATGGATTGGATGTGAGGGAAAGTGAGAAATTAAGGATGACTCCTAGGTTTTCTGTTTGGGTAACTGAGGATGGTTGGTGGTACCATTTCCTGAGATGAGGAAGAATGGAGGAGGACTGGACTAGGGCGGAGAGAGAGAGGTCAGGAGTTTGGGTGGGATGAGTTAAGTTTGAAATTAGACCTGTGTTGCTTTGCCAAGGAGGATGTTGGACATGTTAATTTGGTACTCAGGCTAAAGATATCAGTTGGATGGTCATCAGCAAATAGATGGTGTTTTCGCCAAAGGACTAGATGAGTTCACCCCAGAAAAAAAGTTAAAATTTTTAATTTAAAATTTAAGAAGTTTCAAATTTTTAAAATTGTTTTTAAAAAGAAGTGGGAGGACTAAGCCACAGAGTATGGTGACATTTAAATGCTCAGCAGAGGAAGAGGAGACAGAAGAAGAGTGTGAGAGAGAAGCTGAGACAGTGTGATGTTATGGAAGCCAAGAGAAGAAAGTGTTCCAGGAAAGAGTGTTGTCAACTTGGGTTGGGTTGGGTTGAATGCAACCTGAATCACGAAGTCAGACGAAGCCAGTGAAACAAACTATTGGATTTGGCAATGTGGAGCTGGTTGGTGACCTTGAAAATAAACTATTCAGTGGGATAGCAGAGATAGAAGTCAAAATGGAATGGTTGAAAATGGAATGGGAGGTGGGAAATTGATGAGAGTGAGAATCTGCTAAAAACGGGAACAGAGAAATGGAGAAGTCCTAGAGCTGGTGAGAGCCCAAGGCTTTGTTACATTGTATTTAAGTGCCATGGGTAAGGAAAGCAGGAGAGAGAGAGGGAGGGAAGTGGGTGATGCAGGAGAGAATGTGGACAGAGGCAGGATCGGCATCCTTGGGAAAGGAGGAGACTGTGTGCCCAGTGGAAGCCATGGCCTCTTCAGAAAGGCCTCCCAGGGAAACAGGGAAGGGCAGGCAGGGGGAGGAACAGCACATGCAGAAATCTGTGGATTTGGTGAGGGAAAGGTGAGTGATCCGGGCCATTGAAGTGCAGTTTCTCAATGAACTGTGACTTTAGGTCATCGTCTGAGGGTGATCCAGAACTTCCAAATCTGGAACCCAAATGCACGGTGCCCTTCATTTACCGTTTGGTGCACTTGGAAAGAGTGAAAATGACAACCTCGCTTGCACAATGTGTTTTAAAGAGCTTCGAAGTGCTGCGGCAAGTCACGTCCCTTCTTTCCTTTGATACTTTGCCCTGAATCATCCAAGTTCCCATCAGAGAACAGAATTCACCTGGCTTGTTTAAATGAGAGCACTGCAGTGAAGGTAGTACTTACAGAGATGAGGGTGGAGTTAAGAGATGCTGCACCCAGACGGTCAACAACCAGAAGTCATTGCCCTTCCCCCAACCCAGGGGCCAGGGGTCAATGGAGATCAGTAGTGTTAGATCTCAGTAAGAGCTGGAGTCAGGAAGGACAGGCCAGCCAGTGTGATCGTTCACTGAAGAGACCTAGAGCTGCTATCAGGAAGTGGCACCAAAGCCTCCCTGATGCTTCCCCATAGCTGAACCCACCTGGAAGCTGGCTGGCAAGGGTTAATCCACGGTGAAGGACGGGGAATAGATCTGGCCCCAAATAACCAACATAGCCCCTAACACTGCATGCCATAAGTGTTGAAAAGATTTTGGAAACCACTCCAGAGGGCATATTTATACCCACTGCCCGTGTATAGAATGCATCTGTTTGGTACCTGCTGGGTTTGGAAAACCTCGTTAACCGTGATCTTTGAAATGAACCATCAGGGATACTTCGTGGATACCACCATCTCCAAATGCCATGTTTGCCTATAGTCTTCCTCCTTTATTTTCATCCAGAGGCATTTTGCCCATAAACCTAGGCAAACTTCTATTTCAGGGCCCCTCGCTGGCAGGAATCCCTTCCAAGGCCATGAGAGAGCCCTAGAAATGTATTCCTATGATCACGTTCTTGTAAATTTTTCAAAAGTAGGATATTTAACTGTAATCTCTTAAGACTATATATTTTTCACTCTGACCCTATAAAGGACCCCACCCCCCCATTGTATGCGCTTTGGGCCCCATAAAACTTGGATCTGTTTCTGCTTTCAACAGAAACTTGAGTGTATGATGCAAGTTTCATTCCTTTCCCAAGATTCTACTATCTTTCAGGTGGGGTGGTTAATGAACATCAAAATGGACATTTTGGGAAGGGGAGAATGCAGCAGGAGGGTAAGAAGCAAAGAAGGGAGGGGTGTGTGGTGCTCAGGCAGGGGGAGAAAAGCACTGTGTGAAGCCACTCTGGCCGTCCACCACCTTCGGGTAATGGAGGGTTGTCAGGTGTCCCAGCAGGGGACTCCTTTCTCTCAGGGGGCCTTGCTCAGATGCTGCTTTTTGTGTTTTCAGATGCAGATGGAAACCTGTGTCGAAGTAACCAACTGTTGCAAGTCATGCTGACCATGCACCGAATTATCATTTCCTCTGCTGAGCTGCTCCAAAAAGTTATCACCCTATATCCTTGAGCACAGTGACTGCCCATCCCCCAATGGGATTCATTCAGAAGTATCTTGAAATTTGAAATTTGCTTTCATTGCGATTGGTTTGGAATAACTCTGAGTGGTAAATGGGTTCAAAAATGTCCTTTCGGGGGTGTGGGGGTGGTGCGTGGTGTCAATGTGTGTGTCTGTGAGCACATGGGCACACGTATGTGTCACCGCGGTTGGGCAGGGCAATGTTTTCAAAGCTGATTGCTCAGGCAAATCGTCAAAGAAATCATGGGTCTTCAGTATGTCTGGCGAGTAAAAATCCCTTTCCTGTAGGTTAGTCAAAATTCGTTTTCGTCCTGTGCAGATGGACAAGGGTGCAGTCACGACTCCAGTGACAAACTGGCTCTCCTGTCCCATTCTCACCCTTTCCCCAGGCTCTGAAGAAAGCTTCGTGACACCACAGTATCTGCAGAGTCCACTTTCGTGCTTCAGGCAGAGGCGCTGGCTATGGGCCAAGCAAACCCTGCTGGATTTTAACCTTCTTATGGGGTGTGAATTGAGTAGGGTGGAGAAGGAGCCTGCCCTCTGCCTCTCGCTGGGGACACTGGAAGCCGTGGCCCCATGAGAAAGGACTATAGGTGCACCTTTCTCATGGGAAAGGCACGGAGGAGCCCGTGGAGCACCTGCAGCCGGGGTCCTTGGCAGTGAGTCATGACTGGTGGCTCTTCTCATCCTATACCCCCTCCCCTGGCCCCTTCTTTTTCACCTTAGGGCATACAAAAAAATAAAAGCCACCAGAAGAGACTGAATCTCTTCTCTAAACCTACTTAGAAATCTTTACTTCTCATATCAAAGGATTCCAAGGGCGGAGCGTTGGCAGAGGTCTATATAATAAGAGCTGCAGGTGATAAGTGGGTGTCTGGTCTGCAGAGAATTTTTAAATCATTGTAAAGCTGATTCAGAGTCGATCGACTTTTTACTAACTCCATGTACCAGCAGTTCTAAGCAGTGTCAGTAGTTAAAACCTTCTCAGTGAGAAACGTGTTGCTCTAAGGACTAAATGGTGCCCCCTGGCTGCCCCCACGTACACAGCCCCCTCTCCCTGCTCACTCCCCCCACCCACAGGCTGACCCCTCACATGTCCCCTCTCCTCCACTTTCACCTCTGCCCCTTCAGTGACACCTGCCCTTCAGCCTAAAACACATTCAAGTCTCCCCAACCTAAAAATTAACTCTCCACCCTGCCTTCCCTCCACTGTTAGTTAGAAATTTGGTGCACAAACCTCCTAAAATAGTCTGCACTCACTATCTCCCATCTCTTGACTCCCACTCACTCCTTCACTCAGCTGGGGCCCCCACCCCGGCCCTCAGACTTTCTTCTCTTGTCACCACTGGCCTTCGGGTGGCTTAGCCCCTTGGCTCTTTTCTGTCCCTGCTTACTCTGAGCTTTGTGGACACCCCCTGCCTCTCCAGACCCTCTCCCTCCTGATACTCCATCTGGCTTCTCATCTAGCCCCTTCTCCGAGCACCTCTCAAACAGGGGGACAGCGTCCTGGTGTCCTTCTCACTCTGCCTCCTTCCCTGGGTGATTTCCCTCCAGGATTTCCACCTCTATCCCTCTGTGCTATGGACTTTCAAGTTCGTATTTCTTTTTTTTTTTTAATTCAATTAGCCAACATACAGTACATCATTAGTTTTTGGTGTCGTGTTCAGCGATTCATTAGTTGTGTGTAACAGCCAGTGCTCATCACAACACGTGCCCACCTTAATGCCCATCGCCCGGTTACCCCACCCCCCACCCCCTCCCTTCTGCAACCCTCAGTTTGTTCCAAGTCTGTATTTCTTTAACCCAGACGCTTTTGTAAAAAATATCTGGACTAGTTTGTGCTGCAGACACTTCCATCTTAATATGCTCAAAACTTAATTCATTTTCTCACCACCTTCATCCCCAGTTACTACCCATTAATTCTGCTGTGACACCTGCATTTTCATTTTCACTTTCAGTTTGTGGTGTCCTTGCCCATCCACTTAGCCAAACCAGAAACCTCAGAGGTGCCCTTGACTCCTCCCCGCCTTTCTCCTCCTACGGAGTCCATTACTCAATCCCAGGGCTTCTACTTCAGAAATGACTCTTAGCTGCTTCCTTCTCTCCATCCCCCTGCCACGGCCTTAGTGTGGGCTTCCATCTTCTCTCCTAGGCCCCTCTCTGTCCCGGACTGCTGTCCTCACTGGCATGCTGCTAGCATCCCCCACCCCCCAATCATTAGCCGCCTCTGAAGTTACTTTCCAGAGAAGCAGGTCGCAAAGGCCATTGCTTCAGAGCCTCGGCAGACTGCAGGGTAATGCCCAACTCCTCGGCTGCCAGGCCACGGCGTCCACGGTCTGACCCCCCAGTGTCCCTTCTCCTCCCCCCTGCAGCTCTCCCAGAAGCCCTGTCTCCCCCACACCCAACTTCCCCATGCACCAGCTGGACCGGGTCCCCTTACAATTCCTGTGCCTGGATGGCCTCTTCCTCCCTCAGTGCCTAGCAGCTCCTTCAAGACCCCTCTGTGAAGTCTTTCCTGTCGTTTTCAGCCTTCCACACACCCCTCCCTTTTAAAAACACATCTAGCGTGCTTAGACAGTGCTTTGAAAATCTAATTCCTGTGACTTTAGTTTTGTATTGCTTAAGTGTCTCTCACGTCTCTGGTCTGGATGTAATCTGCTTTGAAAAGCTTTTCATCTACGATTGCAGAAAGTGCCAAGTATTTTTACTCTGTTAGCTAAATAAATTGATCTACCCAGACTTCAGTCTGTAAGTTTTGCAGTGTGCTACATACGTGCTCTGGTCTCTCTAGATGACGATTTCTTTTTTTTTAAAGATTTTATTTGTTTATTCATGACAGACAGAGAGAGAAACAGAGGGAGAAGCAGCCTCCCCGCAGAGCAGGGAGCCCAATGCGGGACTCGATCCCAGGACCCTGGGATCATGACCTGAGCCGAAGGCAGACGCTCAACCATCTGAGCCACCCAGGCGCCCTATAGATGACTATTTCAAGTACACTGCAGAAACTTTGTGTCTAGCTGCGTAGTTTGATTTGTGTTAGTAACATAGAAAGTTAAAAGGTACTAAAAATTAATTGTAAGTTACCTCAAGAAAAAAATATAAATATATTTTTAACCTAGATTTAAAAATGTATATGCTGTAACTTACCCGTGTATGTGTCTCCCCCACTAGTCTGTGTGTCCGTCAGCATCAGGAACCAAGGCTTATTTATCTTGGTTTCTCTAGAACTTACCTCAGGGGCCATCTCATGATAGTACATGACAAATGTTGCCTGACTATGGGTGCAAAACACTGGACACTTTTAGGGGAGAAATTCAGGCTTTGGTCTGGGGCAGGGGACGAGATTCTAAGAAGGGAACATGAAGTAAGACTGCCTGTCACTGAAGCCCAGGTTAAACACTGACAGCAGAACGATTTTTTCTTCACGTTTAGTGTCTGTTTTCTGACTTGGAAGTAATAAAATTATTAGTTACATAAGCTCACGGTTTCCTTGATGCTTCCTGGTTTTTCATCGTTAAAAAAGATTTGCAAACACGCTTTGAATGGCTCAAGTGCCTGAAAAGTACAGTCAGAACACCGGCTGTGAAGAGAAGGAAGATGTGTGGAGCCTGAAGCTTCCAGCAAACAGTGACCTGAACCCCTTCGAGGCAGATGCTGGAGCCTCTGATACTGCACATGCTGGGCGCTTGCTTTGGCGCTCCACGTGAAAAAGCAGGTGCCCTGCCTCACTCCAGGGCTGCCTCTGCTGTGGCTTAGGGGCTCTGATGAGGGGGAGGCTGTGTCCTCCTGCCCGGCGTCCTGCCTGGCCCTGTGCAAGGAGAGCTGGCGTGCACACCGACCAATTCACTCAGGTCCTGCCCACACGCTGGGCCACTGGCCGCTGCGCACCACAGGGATGGACATTGGAAGGGACAAGGGATGGGCAGGGAGCGACCAGATGAAAGCTCCGCAGTAAAAGGCACCGTGTTGATTTACAGATCTACTTAGCTGGTTTTAAAAGAGAAGTACGTTTTCCGTCCCTTCCTCATTAAAAAGGAAGAATAAAAATTTCAGCAAGTGCAAAAATAATAAAAATATAGAATCTGGGCCATATTTATCTAGAATGTGCCTTGTGCTTAAAGCTCTTTGCATTGAAGGCAGGCATTTCCTCAGCGATACGGCCTAAAGACGCGTAAAGTCCTTGTTTTCATTCTTACCTTTTATGCCCAAAGAAAGGCAGGCATCAGACAGAGCCTTTTAGTTCATCAGGTTTGCCAGTTGCCTGGACTTATTTTTATTTTCTGTGTTGCTGTTAATGTGTGTTTTTGTGTTTTGTTTTTGTTTTGGTGCTTTTGAGGACAGATATTATAGGCAGTAAGTCTATCAAAATTTACTTTTTTAAGTGATTTTATTAAAAGTACCAATTTTACAGCCATAACTCTTCTTTAGGGCTTCAAGTTTAGTTTGCAAATATGATTCTTTCTGTAAGTCTAGCATGTTTCACCAAGCGTTTTTAAGGGGCCTTGAAAAATGTTTGGTTAATTTGAATAATGCTCATTAACTAAATGCTTCTGATGATTGTAAACTACAGTTATGAATTTTACATTTTGAATGATTTTTAAATACTTCAGATGCCTTCCTGAATTCTAAATCGTTTTTATAACTATTAAAGTTATAAACAGTTAACATCATTTTAGAAGTTCCAAAGCCATGATTAAACTTAATAAAATTTCAATTTAAAACCACAAGTGCTTTAGCACTTAATTATAAAGGGAAGTTTTGAGACTATCATGCCAGTATGCTCTTAAACATTACAGGGATGTAAAATCCCCAAATGCTCAGATTCCTTCCTAATCAAAAGCACTGATCCTAGGATGTAGACTTTCACTTTGCTCTGTTTACCTCTACATTTTCTGGGATTTAAGATACACATGCACACTGAAGGAAGACCACTCCCACCCAGTTACTTGAGCTTTCTGCCAGCTTACTCACTGGACTCCTGGCAGGGGCGCTGCAGGAAGTCACTGAACCCCGTACCGAAGTTATGACAGCACAGTGTTTAGAAGGGACAGAGGGTACAGCCTGGCAGGGCCCATGGTGCACGTAACCTGATTCCTCAGTCTGGTGACCAGAGATGGTAGACCCACCCAGGCTACCAGTGGATTGGATTTTGCATTTCTTTGGCTTGTAAAATAAATGAAATATTCTCCACAGATCTCTAAAGAGGTCAACGTAATGGGATCTTACTATTCTCTCATATTCTTAGGATGGCACCATTCTCATGGAATATTCCGAGTGCCATCTCTGATTGTATTTTGGATTAATCACATGGCTTTGTCTGGCTTGCCATCACGACTTCCAAGGTCCATCTGCTTACCTCCTGCAGGCATATATGATCATTTTTCACATTGCTGCCCTTAATTATCATGACAGTATATCTGAATATTCATTCATTCTCCCCCTCCTCATTTACTGCACAAATTGTTTATCCATTCCTCGAAACACTTTGAGAGAAGGGGCTCCTCAAAGTTGTTTCAGTGGGACTCCACATCTCTTGGGCATGGGTAGGAGGTCATGTGCCCCTTTTGCCATTCAGATAGGCTGCTTATGCCAGGACCTTCCCACACTGTTGGCTTCCTACTTCCCCTTCTGCAAAGGAGATGTTGGGACCTCCTTCCATAAGGAGGTGTGGGCTCCACAGGAAGTCCCCATCATCACCCTTCCAGGTGCTAATACGCACACAACTGCACACATCAAGTTGGTTTTTGTCCTATGGCCAAAAAAATAAGAAACTATGGCGGGGGGGTGTTTTAGCAAATACTTCCAAAGATGAGAAGTTGTTTGGTTTCTATGACAGAGGCTTCTATTTCCCTTAACCACAGCCCTACCTATAAGGACGCCTTGGCAAAGAACTCACCAGGGCTTTGTCTGAAGATCTGCTATTTTGTAAGGTAACGTTTCTACGTGTAGTTGGGACTTGTGGAGTTGGGTGAAATGAAAGGCTGAAGCAAGGGATTCTAGTTCTTTCCTCATGCTCCCTACCTTTCCCGTCCTGTCTATAAACACCTCTGGACAGCCTGGAAAGGGAATTATTAAAGTAATCATATTAGAAAAGTAAGCTCATATTAAAGTAGCTCATATTAGAGCATTTTGGAAAGTACAGTAAAGAGTATAACTATAGTAATAATTACTCATATCCCACTATTTTGGAGTATTTCCTGTGTCATTTTTCTAAGCAGTTCTTTTTTAACATAATTGAGGTCAAAATACATTTTTGTATCCTTTATTTCTCACTTAATTTTATAGCCTAGGAATCTTCTTTCATCATTAAAAACTTTTTTGTGGACAATTATTTTTCATGGTACTATATTTGTAAGATATGAGAAAGTGTAATTTACAGATGCACTACCCCATCTTTGCACTTTTCGTTTGTCTGTAACCGTATTCCTTGTAATTATCTCGGATACACCTGATTGTGCCTAAATCTTTGCTGTTGCTTTTTCTGTTGTGCTGTGCCTATCCTGTCGAAGCATGTGGTGTGTGGAGGGGCAGAGGACTGTCAGCAGGTGGCTTTCTTTCCATCCCCCACACCATCACCCCACCCCCTTATATTCTATATATAGAATATATATTCTGTATTCCCAGGCATGCAGAAGGACAAAGCAGCTTCTGTCTTTTTCTGATTCCTCTTCGTGGGAAGAACCCACCAAAAAGCATGAGTCCTTGGCTTCAGTTTTGGATTGCTGTTTGTTTTGTTTTTTAACTCCCACCTCGTAGGTACTGGATAACAGAATTCTGGATCATGTTTAAAATGGATGCCAGCTTGACAAACACTATGGAGGAGTTTCAGGAGCTGGTGAAGGCTAGTGGTGAGGAGTTACACTGCCACCTGATTGACACAACTCAAATGTGAGCGTCAAGGTTTTGACTGATCTTTCCAAACCACCTCCCTCCCGGGCTGCTCAGCCAGGCCTCTGACCCCCTGCTGGGAGGGCTGGATTCCCCACTCCCGGAAGCCCCTCAGGCAGGCTCAAATTGTAGCCCCAGAGTGAAAAGACTGACGTTTAGCAGAAAAGCAGAGAAGCCCCACTGGTGATAAAGCTGTGAGTGACTAATGTCAAAGAGCAAGGGGAAAAAAAAAAAGTCCCAGTGAAGAAGAAACCAGGTAGCGGGATAGTGACTACAATGAATCCAGATGATGAGAAACTGGAAGTACGGCCACTAGATGCTTCCTCAGCAGCCACAGTCTCAGGGAAGGGACTGCTGAGAAATGGATTGAGCGGAGGGTTTCTAACTTATATGGATGTCTACAAGAGACGCCTAGACTTGCAGAGATGGGAAGGCTCTCAGGAATAGCTGAGATTACTCCATATGAGAAAGTGTAATTTACAGATGCACTACCCCATCTTTGCACTTTTGGTTTGTCTGTAACCGTATTCCTTGTAATTATCTCTGACACACATGTCTGTGACATTGTCTATGACATTGGCCCACTCTGGAAGAATGAGGACCTTTCCTAGTTTTGGGAGAACCATGCACACACACACACACACACTCTGGAAGAATGAGGACCTTTCCTAGTTTTGGGAGAACCATGCACACACACACACACACACTCACACTGTTTGCAACATGGCCACTTTATTTTGGAATAACAGAAATCCCTAGGATATAGCGTTCTAGGACCGAAGCATATTCTAGGGATCGTTCCATGCAACATCCTGGGAACCCGAGGCTTGGCAAGGTTGGCTGGGGTCACACAATTAGTAGCAGAGGGAAGCTGGGCTCGGACCGCCCTCCGCGCACTGAGCCACAGCCCCACAGAAATGACCTCAGGATCACATTACATCGTCCTGGATATCGTTCTGCAGATGCCGGTTTGGATTCTCTGTACTTCTCTGCTTAGAATCTACAACTTGAAAGATAAGAGAAAATTTCAAAGTAACAGTGTTCTCATTTAAAAGATGTAGAACCTGGGGCACAGGGCAGTTCTCAGACACCGATCTCCTTGTCCCAGCGTGTCCCTCGCTGACTGACCTCTCCTGAGATTTCCCACAGTACATTCTTTAGGAAGTAGCCAGTGGGATATTGCCTGAGCAGATATACTTAAGAAATAGTGAGTTAAGCTTCCCTTTGGCATCTCACTTTATAACACGTTCACTGGCCAACAGGGCTCCAGAATCTGTAGGCTTTCCCAAACTCACTTGACCGCAGAATCCTTTGTCAAGGGACAAGGTTCCCATCAATACCAGTTTGGGAAACAGATCTGCACCCTGCTGCCTCTCAAAATGGCTGCTTCCTTAGTGAAGGAAATTGAAACTAAGGATCAATTCTAGGAAAACTAATGGATCAATTCTAAGAAAATGTGGGGGTGGAGGGCACTCTAGGGTTAGCTAGGCTTCCTTGGTCATTTCCGTGGCTGGGAATGTTTGAGGAGAATGCCCCAAGTCTGCCCCGAGTGACCACATGTTCCTGCACAATTCCCCGCAGCGTGGCTTCTCAGTTTGTGGAATGCTGCCTTACTAAAACCTTGAGGTAGCATCCCCATCACCCTCCTAAGAACGAAGGAACACGCAGAAGGCATGGAGAGAGCAGAGATGCCAGGGGCTAGACAGAGGAGCAAGGATCAAAGGCCAGGACACTGCGACCAATGCCTGAGACTTACTTTCCTTCCCACGGCCTTAAAGTAAACACGTCTTACCCAGGTCCCATGACGTGTTCCAAAGGTTCACTGAAAACCAGCAAGGCTTTCCTACTTGGTGCCATAGGGGAAAAAAAAAAAAAAAGTGGGGGGAAACCGTTTAACACCTTGTTTTGGCGGAAGAAAGTTAGCTAATTCATGGTGCTTTGTATATCCTTGTGGGAAATGCGAATGGATTTACTTGAACTAAAAAGTAATTTTGGTTTACTTTTCCTCTTCTTCTCCCGTTCATGTTTACCCACAAAAGCAATGCCCGGGACTGGTCGAGGAAACTGACCCAAAGGATAAAATCAAACACCAGCAAGAAACGTAAGGTTTCCCTGCTCTTTGATCACCTGGAGCCCGAGGAGCTGTCGGAGCACCTCACCTACCTGGAGTTCAAGTCCTTCCGGAGGATATCAGTATGTACTTGACGGGCAGGAGAGAAACTCCCTGGGTTATTTCAGAAAATAAGGCCCGTCTACCTCCTAACCCTGGAGGCCCCCTCAGAGCCGGTGGACTTTCCCGTCAGACTTCGTGTAGTCTAGAAAATGGGTACGCTAGAAATTTCTTTGTAGCTCTGCTCTGCGCCCCTTCTCCCATCCTCTGTGCCACCCCACCACTCACTCAAGTGACAGTACCGTGGGCCCCCGGGGCACCCTGCACACAGACACACACGCGTGTACACACAGCATACACACACTCACGCACACACCTCTTACCCCTCATAACCATTAAGCTTCCCGAATTTAAAATTTTCCTAAAAAAAAGAAGGAAAAAGAAAACGGGGATATGTCTTCTCAGAGTTTTATTCTGAGATAGGCTTTGAGTGGCTTGGGGAAATCCTAAAATAAAGTTAGGGTCTAATGGTCTAGCCCAGAATATCCCGAAGTTCTTGAAGTAGTGCTGACCAGGCCCAACAGTCACCCAGGATTCTAGATCTAAACCAGGCTGTCCCAAACCTTGCTCCTTAAAACTCTGTATGTGATACCAAAGAACGCTGGTTCTATACAAGAGAACTTGTCAACATGTCAGATGCCATCAGACA